GTTGTCGCTATAGGCCTGCGCGCAGTCGCTGTACAATATACATCATATTCAAGGATGGATGGCGGGTCGTTTTCAACACACATATACATATATATATATATATATATATGTACACACACTGCCTTAGCGCGCCACACAGTCGTTTTCAAAGTTTGCGGCAGGTTCGAATATGGAGGGCGGCTCCTTTTTCCATACCGTGGTTCTCGCCTCAACGCCGCGCACATTCGTCATAACATGTTCCAGCACGCTCGAGGAATCGTACAATGGAACTCCCACATAAGGCTGGCTGTCACGATCTCGGATGGCCAGAACGCCGCCGTCACGTTTACTCGCGGCGCTAGGGTCCAAGGAATCGCGCGCTGGCATGGTGTAGAAACCGCTAGAACGCGCCAGCCACTTCGATCCACGACTCTGGCGCCCCAGGGGCAGAGTTCTGGCACTACTGATGATTATCCGACAATTGCAATTTAATGGGGGCACTTCCCGCTACGCAAATACGTTTTTTTTTGTAGCGGCCCACGGAAGAGGAACTTGGAGGGAGGGCTCTATTGCAACATCGTTGGTGCAAGTTGGGTTTACCCTGGTCCTCCCCCTCCTCCTCCTCCTCCTCCTCCTCCTCCTCCTCCTCCTCCTCCTCCTCCTCTCCTTCTACTCCTCCCTCTTCTCATCCTCCTCCTCCTCCTCCGCCTCCGCCTCCGCCTCCGCCGCCGCCGCCGCCGCCGACGACTCCGCCTCCGCCTCCTCCTCCCCCTCCTCCTCCTCCTCATCCTCCTCCTCCTCCTCATCCTCCTCCTGTTCGTCCTCCTCCTCCTCCTCCTCCTCTTCTTCCTCCTTCTCCTCCTCTTCCGCTTCCGCCTCCGCCTCCGTTTCCGCCTCCGCCGCCGCCGCCGCCTCCGCCCCCGACATCCTCCTCCTCCTCATCCTCCTCCTCCTCATCCTCCTCCTCCTCCTCTCTCCTCCTTCCTCCTCCCCCTCTCCTCCTCCCTCTTCTTCCTCCACCTCTTCGTCGTCGTCCTCCTCCTCCTCCATTATTTTCCCTTGGAAGTAATCCCCCCTTGTCGCACCCCGAAGCCAGTTTATAGGGCGGGCCGGGCGTTTCGCCTGAGACTGCCTCACCACTAGTGACTCTGAAACTCAAACAATGGCAACAATTTCACAAATGGAGGGCGGGTCGTTTTCAACATTGGCGAGAGTTTCATGGATTAGGGGCGGGTGGTTTTCAAAACGTGGTTCTCGCCATAGCGCCACGCACTTTCGATAAAAGAATTTTACTGGTTGAGGGTGAATCGTTTTCAAGTGGTGGCTCTCGCTTTAGCGCGGCGCACATTCGATTTAAACATGTGCAAAAGCTTCACGGATTGAGGGCGGCTCCTTTTCAAAATGCGGTTCTCGCCTTAGCGCCGCGCGTGTTCCTCTACACCAGTTTCAAGAGTTTCACGGGTTCCCATCCTCAGCGTACCGGTAACATGATGCGGGTGCAACAGTTACGTTGGTTCTCTGTGTTGAAGTACTAGAAATGGCGTTCTGGCAAGATTCGGGATCGTCAAGACGCAATGGTCAGGTTGATCCGTGGCGTTGGAACCCCGAGAAAAAAATCTTGGCATGCTCCTGGGCCTTCAAACGGGTGTCTTCCAACGAGGCAGTTTCATCAATGCAAATGAACCGTTGTAGGGGCCTATGAAAAAGGGAGGTTGGTGGGAAGGTTTACTCCAACATCATTGATGACTCTTGGGTTTACAAAGGTCCTCCTCCTCCTCCTCCTCCTCCTCCTCCTCCTCCTCCTCCTGCTTCTCCTCATGCTCCTCCTCCTCCTCCTCCTCCTCCTCCTCCTCCTCTCCTCCTCCTCCTCCTCCTCCTCCTCCTCCTCCGCCTCCTCCCCATCCACTTTCATTCTGAATAACTTTTCCTGGTCGCATCCCGAAGCCAATTTACATGGCGGGCCAGGCGTTTCGCCTGATATTCCCTCACCACTAGTGACTCTGAAGCTCAAACAATGGCAACAGCTTCACCGATGGAGGGCGGGTGGTTTTCAAAATGTGTCTCTCGCCGTAGCGCGGCGCACATGCGTTCAAAAACGTGCAAAAATTTGACCGATTGAGGGCGGGTCGTTTTCAAAATGTGGCTTCGCCAAAGCGCCACGCACATTCGTTTTCAAAAACAATTGCAAGAGCTTCACGGGTTGAGGGCGGGTGGTGATCAAAATGTGGTTCTCGCCTTACCGCCGCGCACATTCGTTTAAACATTTGCAAGAATGTCACTGATTGAAGGCGAATCTTTTTCAAATTGTGAATCTCGCCTCAGCGCGGAGCAAAGTCGGATTAAACATGTAAAGTCAAGGATTGAGGGCGGTTCCTTTTCAATGTGGTTCTCGCCTCAGCGCCGCGCACGCTCGTGCACAACAGTTTCAAGAGTGTCCCGATTGGTGTTTCGCAAGGATTCAGGATCATGCTGGCGCAACAGTTCTGCTGATTCGCGGTGTTGAAGTCCAAAAAAATGTGTTTTGGCACGATTCCAGATCGTCAAGATGCAGCAGTGAGGTTGATGCGTGGCGT